CTCAGACTTGGCAATATTTGGAGCCTTTATTTTTGAGCAATAACTGCTGGAATCATGTGACTCTGACGCACCTTTTCTTTAAAAGCTTCTAGTTCTCATCTTAGCAAGTTCAAACCTTTATTTTGAACTTTGAAGGCTAAAATCTGACAGCTGAAGTTAAGTCTCTTGAAATGAAGCATGTAATGCTATGTGTAAGTACCATTGAACGCTGAATTTCATTCCATTCCTCATTTCATACGCTTGAGTCTGATAATATGACTGCAAGTGTCTTGCAAGGAAGCAGTCCAGTTATCCCATTCTTAGGTTAAAACAGCATGTTTCTCTATGCCCTGACTCTTGTGTGGGAAAGGGTTATATACTGCTGCTTTTGCGTTTCATAGCATTTAAGCCATAACATCCACAATGCCCTTTGATGCATAAAGCATCTATGTGTGGCTGAGCTTTTGGGTAACTTGTCCTTCAAAGAAGCTACTGCCTTCTTTCCTTGTAAGGTTCAGGGGAGGTGTAACAAATATAGTATGGCTGAACTTCTGTTCTAGCAACAAAAACATGAGCTCTTGCCTTGGATAAATGTGTAAGAAAAGAATATTTTTGTGAGCTAAAATGGTCTTTTAAACTAGCGTTTAATTTTCTGTGTTAAGTTGTAGTAAATGCAAAAATAAACAACAAAGCAGTTACTTTTAGACTTGGGCAACCAGAGAAACTGACTGCTGGTGTCCTGTTACATGACAAAAAGCCAGCAGTAGGAATAATGGGTAGCTGTTTCAGTGCAACCTGATGATAGAGTTGGAAAAGGTCTGAACACTGCTCCATTTAGCTGTGAGGACTCTTTATGAAATGCAGTGTCCTTTGCTTTCATTGTCGTAGCCCGATCAGATCGCTGCTCCAATTGCTTGTTCATTTATGCAATGGGTGGTGGTGTTGTTCTAGTAAAATAATGCTTTGAGATGATGTATGCACTGTAGCCTTACTGTACCAGCACCAAAATGTTTCAGGGACAAAATAAAATCCAGTATTCTCTTTGGGAGAGGTGCACTTACTATCCTTTAGGGTATTCTTACCACACAGAGCTGGTTTGTGCTAGCAAGAGATTAAGAATGTATTTTTCTTTCAGTTGCATTGGCAATTTGGAAATAATGTACATAATTTTGTGTCTATGCTGAAAAGTCATTGTGGAAGGGCTCTGGAAAAAACAGGCCATCAGACTGACAGCTTGCACTAACAGCCTGAATGACTAGAAGGATTGGGTTACTTATGTGACACTGAGGGAGCAGTGAACTCTCTGTGGTGCTTGCCTTAGAGACAGTTCAGGACTCTGCATGCAAATACTACCTGCTGGCTGGCTAAAATCTGAGATCAACTAGAGTCTTAAAAATGTCTGCAGGAAAATCTTGGTTCAGTTGTTCATTTGATGATTAGCTTGTGGTGCTTCGTAGAAGCACACTAGAAAGTAGAGCAAAACCCAAAACTCACATCTCTAATAAAAGGTCTGAGCACTTGCCAGGTGGCAGTTTCAGATAGGAGGCCTAGCCGGTTTTGTATATGTGCTAGAGTCAGGTTAGATTCTTGCTTTTGCAGCTCACGCGTGTGGTGTCCTATGTGTGTGTCAGTGTTCACGCAGCCTATGCCAGAATCTAGTCCTTGCAGTTAAGATGGGTGAATGACCCTGCAAGCCAATTTGCCCGGAAGGGTGCTGGGGGAACAGATAGATTAGATGCGCTTAACTAATATGGTAAGAGTGGATCAAATCAGTAGGCTACTTTACTGAAAAGGAAAGCACAAGCATGCTCAAAATAGTAGCCAGCTGTTGTCACATTTCAGTATCTATGTCAATAGTCTTATGGGTTGCTGTTTTATTTATTAGCATTTCTGGAGCACTTACTGTCATAGTATGGCACAGTTTAACCCGAAGCAAAATAGAAAGCCAGGCTAGCGATTCCCTCCCCCTTTGCATTCTCTTGACAATGAATTCAAGTATGGTAGTGCTGTATGGATGGTCTGTTATTGCCCAGATAGAATGGTGAAATGGTTTGAGATAATTGATAAATGGCGCTTTATAATTGGGTTATTGAGCTAGGTGCTTTAGTGCCTTCTTTTTTGCAAGTTGGTCAATATTGTTCTGATTTGAACATAACTGGATGAGAAGTGCTGCTCACACTGTTCCAAGGAGGCTGGGAATATATAAGATATTAATGTAGAAATCTTACTCACCATTTTTTCCTTAAGCATACTAGCAACTTGTGATTAAAAAAAAAAAAAAGCCTCTAATTATAATGTTGGGTTTCATTTTTTTTTTGAGTGCAGCTCCCTTAGGGGTTCAAATAAAAGCAATGAGAAAGAAAGATCAAAGTTGGAAAAGCTCAAAGCAGCATTGTTTCCAACACTGAGTCAGGTTGGCTGCAGCTCTGTCTAGTTGGTCTTGAAAATCCCCAAGGACGGAGATTACATAGCCTCTGAGTGACCTGTTCCAGAGCTGCTCTGCTCTCCTGACACACAAACTCCTAGTGTAAGGGCCAGGTTGTTTTGGATCGCTGGCTTGAACCAGCCTGCAATTTCTAGTTTCCAGTGTAGTCATCTGACCGGCTCCCTTCCCCCCAGCTGCAGTGCCTGGGCTATACCAGTCCTAAACATTTGATTTTTATCATTGGTGTGTTAAACCTTGTTTGCCTTGATTTTTGGAGAGGGACCAGCAGGCATTTTATTTTGCGAAATGATAGGCACTAAGCACAAATTTCTGTGTCATTACATTATCTTGACTTCAGCACAAATGTGAATAGTTTGATACAAAATTATACTACTTAAGAACAGGACAGTGCATTTTAAAATGTCAAATTACTCTCTAGAGTTGAAGAGCTTTCCTTGCATAATTGTAAAATGCAAATACTTTTTGCCTGTTTGGTCTAGAAATAGTCAATATGAAGAAGCATTCTGTTTCTCTGTACCTTATTTTGAAATCCTTTCCTGTATATCATTGCAGTCTTTCTCCTGCTGTTAGTGTAATGCAAAAGATATGAAACAGCATCTTGAAGTATTCATAAGAACATGGAATGGCTAAATATTGGAGCATTTCCTAGACACAGGCACCTTTTGTGGGATTGCCTCCTTTGTTGATGTGAGAAGGTAGTTGATACCATCTCTAAAATCTGGGCCAGACTGGAGCTAATTGTCAGTCATTCCTGGAAGGACATCGGGTGCAAAGAAGTAATTCTTGTACTCACCCTTTGCCTTGATTGTTGCTCAGGGACAAAAGGTGGATGCACAGCACTGTGATTGGGCCAAAGGTTGGTATTTAAAAGGAGAAAAGCAAATGCTGGGGGTGAGGATGCTTCGTGCCGGCTGTGTCCATGTGCTGCATGTGTACTTCCCAGCTTGTCCGGCACTCGACAGAGCTTCTGCGGGAGAGAGGTGTCACATCCTGGACTGCCAGTGAAAAGGGCTGCTATGTGTGGACTGGGATGAGCCCAGTTCCTGGGGGATGTGCAGAGTAGCCGGAGGGAGCAGTGGAGCCCCACGCTGCTTTGTGGTGCTCCCTCCCGGTAAGCTTTGTGACAGGTAAAATTGTTTTGTGCATCATCTGCCCGAACAATTTAGTCTCCTGAAATACTTACCTGTGAAACTTGTGCATCTGCTGAGAAGGATTTTCAAAGTTAACTGATGAGCTCAGAAAAAGGGTCTGACTGTAACCAAGAAGCTGTTTTTTGTAGGCCATCCAGGAGGTGAGCCATGACCCCCAGATTTACTAGTAGAGTCTGGCTTATGTGTGCCCTTTCCTTGCTATAGCATAGTCTGAGGATATCAGCTACATCCACGCTGCATGGTGTGTGGTTCACATTTGCTTTGTGCCCCAGGCTCCAAGACACAAAGGCGGCCAGTAAAATACAAGCAAGTTCAAAGTTTCTGAAATAACAAGATCTGCAATTAGGATTTTTATTTTGTGATAATGGTGGCACATGTTTTGTCTGAGTGAATGACACAGGAAAGTGCAAAGCCTCTTGAGAGACAGTTGGAGAGTCTGGCACAGAGGAGCAAAGTTGGTGCAGCCTGCTGACAGTGTTACATGCTTGGACCAGGCTTGGGAGCAAATTATCCTGTCTGCTTTGCTTGGATTTTCTTGAAAGAAGTCACTGCAGTGTTGCCAGGTTTTCCTTTTGGAGTGAGCTAGTCTTTCGCTTTGGCGCTGGTGATGGGACGGGGCCTGGGAGTGAAATAAGAAGCTACTCAAAACATGATGTAGCTGCTGTTGTGGTGTAAAGGGTCTAGGCTTTATGCATAAGCCGGGTGTTGCTGTAATGATTATTTGAGAAGCAGTGGACCTGCCATATTTTAACCCTGGGTTATATTACTTAGCATCATTTGGGTGCTGCTTTGTTTCACTGTCTCTTGTGGCATTTATCTTATACTTATTGTAGGTGCCTTTTCATGAGGGCTACCCGTTGATGGGGTTGGTGTAGTACTGAACACAGTGGGAGTCAGATTGCTGATTATGACTTGTAGATACAGCAGTAAAAAAGTGTAACTTACGGCAACATCATGTAATATTTTTCTTTGCTGCTGCTTCAGTTTAGGGAATTGATATCTGGGAACTTGATCAGGCCCTGTGATCTACACTTAGATACTTAGCCCTCTCTTTGTTGATTTATTCTGCCAGCTTCTCATCCTCTTTGCCCTTATTTTCCTCACACTGAAATGAGAGGGTGATACTACATTCTAGGTGTTTCTGAAGGGTCTATTTAAATACCAATATTTAAACACCATAGAGGCAATGCAATGGTGGCTGTTGCATGCATCTTTAACATAAATAAACGCACTACTACAAGTGGTCAAGGGAGACATTTTCAGCCTCTCTTGATCTGTAAACCTTGTGCCTGCTTAGCCTGTAAGAAAAAAAAAACTTTTAAATGGGTAGCTGTGCAGAGGATGCTTGTATAATGGTGAATTTTACATTCCTAAGAGTATGTGAAGTTAAATAATTAATTACAAATGTTGCTTTGTCTTTCCAGTACATCAACTGTGGTAACCTGGAACAGCTATTAGACAGTAACCAGCATCTGCCCTGGACAGTGAGGGTGAAACTGGCATATGACATTGCTATGGGAATCAGTTATCTTCACTATAAAGGCATTTTCCACCGAGACCTTACATCGAAGGTACCGTTTATAAAATGAAGGGAACTTTTTAATGAAGGTACTATAACTGGTTGGTTGGTTCTTTCTCTTCCTTCCAGCAGAGAACTGCAATTATATAAGGGGTCATCTAAGATATTTTGAGAAACAAATTGAAATACAGTTTATAGGATTAAAACTTTCTTCAAAATATGTTGATAGTTTGTATGGGAACTGGAGAAATAACTATCCTGAAGGAAGATCATTCCTTAAATGAGTTCAGATTAGGATTTCTCAGAAAGCAGCTGCAGAGTTTTTAGTTATGAATTACGGTTCAGTAAAGTATTTAAATCCCTGGATAATTAAGCGTACCATTCTAACATTTGGAACAGGTCAATCGTATAAAGAACCCAAACTGAGGAGATTATTATGAACGCACTTTAAAATCTCCTTGTTGTTTAGTTTCCCCATGTATTTCATGAATCTTCTTCAGTAGAAAGAGTGACCTTTTGGTACTAATTCAGCATTGTGTTGTCCACAATCCTGGTTTATATTTCTTTCATTTCTGAAGTCAGTAAGATCAAACTAGTTTACCTAAAATTTTCAAATTTCAAAATTTGCTCCAGAAAGATATATCAGTGGCAGAGTTTTCAGTGAACATAGATTTGTTTGACCTGCTTTGGTGACAGCTTGTATGAATTTAGCTGGCTGAAGTAGCTATCTAACTCAAGCTCAGCTAGAAATACTGACATAGGAGTGCTAAGCTCTGTGAACAAATTGCCCCAGTATTCACACTGGGTCTTGCCATCCGTTGCAGCCTGTGCTGAGGGCTTTGCTGTCCTGTCTGTCCTCTTGTCTGGAGCTAATGAGCTGGTTTAAGCTCACTGGGGACTTGCAACATGAAAGTACTCCAAAACGGTTCTTGGGAAGACTTCATAATGTTGCTTCAATCAAAAGTATCTGGAAGAATGTTATCTTAGCCTAAAAAGAACTATTTTTAACATTAGAAACAGCTTTTAAAAATAAAAACACAGCATAGTGTGTTTGCAAATATGAGTGACTACTAGCCATCCAATTTTTTAAAGCTGCCTCAGTGCAGTGTTAAACAGATGAAGGATGTGCATTTAGCCAAGGGGAAACAAAAATAGTTCAATGGGTAGATGAAAGAAGTATTTCAGTGAAGTAATAAAATACCTCCTTGAGTGTCCTTTTAAGGGAAAGGTGCTGAATTCTGCAAGGAAGAATATCAAATTTATGAAAAATGCCCAGGCTTGGAGCCCTGTCACTTTGACATGATACACTCAGAAAGCTCCACTTCAGTCACCTTGGAGCGTGCGGATAAGAGATGTGTAAAAATAACTGAAAGATAACTCAGTGTTCCCCCTTCCCCCCTTTTTTTTTTTCAGTTCAGGATGTATTTTAGTACATTTAGAAGGGGGGAAGTCGAGCCACTGCAAGGAACCAAAGTAACTAAAGAGAACTCTGTGTCTGCAGCATTTATCATAAACACGTACTGTGATGGCTGGTCATATGAAAATTCATTTCCTGAGACCTCTGTGAATGCCTTTGTTTAAAGCTTTACATAATTGTATGTCATTCTCTGGAGCTGCCCTACCAATGCTTCAATGTTATCTATTGTTGAATGTCAATTGTTTAGAAAATGCACCTGCTGGGAGGAGTGCATGATTTCACTGCAACAGCAAACTCATCAGTGGCCACAGGAAGTAGTAAGGGTTATTAAAAAAAAAAAAACCAACAAACAACAAATCCAAACAAACAAAACAAAACAACAACAACAAAAAAAAAACCCAAAAAACAAAAACCAAAAAACACAACCAGAAAAGTACACAAAAAACCAACCACAAACAACAAACCAAACCCTAAGAATTTATTAGCAGTTATGCTATATTTGGATGATTCTTAGCACTAAAGGTATAGTATGTATGGGGGTCATATTGGAAGCTGTCAGGATAAAAGTTTGTCATCAGCTATATTCTGTATTTTCCAGTTCCTTGGTTGTTGGTTTTTTTTTAAACATAATTTTTAAAAATTTTTGAGGTGATGTATGTACTTGCTTGTTCTGTTTGGGAAGGGAAGCAGATGAAACACCTGGCCTTAAATGCCCATGTACTAGTGAATTTTATTAGTGTTTTATTGTATTGATGAAATATACTTTAAAATTAAATCTGTTGGGCAAATGACACTCTTTTTGGGAAAATGTTCGTCCTGCTGGATGGCTAAGTTTTAAATAAGTCACTTTGGAAGAAAGCAAAAGAATTAAGATAATAACCACAGCAAAAAGCAGTCACTGAGATTTTCTGCCCCTGAGTGTGGCTTTTGGCTACTGCTTGAAGAGATGCCTCGTATTTTACCAGGTTTGTACTGGTGGTGGGATGAGTAGTCTTCATTCTTACTAGTAAATAGTCAATGTGTGAGTGAGCTGAAGGGAGATACGATGGGCTCTTTACTTGGGAGATAACCTGTGATTGGACTGGCTAAGGGCAGGTTCAATACTGTTCTATATTGTCCTTCTTTCTCCGGTAAACTTCCGTAATTGATGTGATGGCTTTATTAATCAAATGAAGGCAAAGACAAAGATTTAGACATCTGCAAAAGTCAGAACAGACACTGAGTTTGCTGGGTGTGGGGAGAGGGAGGTATTTTTTTCAGAAAACTTGCTGGCCTTGACTGAACAGAATGAAACAGAGTCTTTCTGTGCAGGAATGTCTCCATGCTTTACCTATTATACTTAACACAATAGCCCACTGGAAATTATCCCTCTAATATGAATTTTACTATAAAAATTATTTGGGGTTAATTTAGACCCATACTTCTGCCTGCCACCTTCTGTTTCTGGCAAACCTCTAATTCCTGCAGCTTCCTGGAGCATGTGGCGTGAATACACAAAGTTTATTTTGTCAGTTATGGCACCAAGTTGTCTTGCTCTGACAGTAGCATTGTATGTGTCTATGTACTGGATGCATAAAATCTTAAAGAAGTAGAAGTTCCTGTCCCCTGCCAATCTAAGATTGAAAAATAAGTAGTTTTTACAATTAGTATACAGCAGGGTGATCTCTCTTCCTAATTGCACCATGTGGAGAGTAGCAGAACAGCATTGATACTGCAGAAAGCCAGAGGGAAGAATGGTAGAGAAGAGTAGATGTAGGTCACTATAGTCGATGTGGCAGCCCATGGGGGATGTCAGCCCTGACATCCCACTGGTGCCCTTCCTGCTGCCCTTCTGTCAAAGATGGAGGCAATGCTTGTTAGAAGAGCGTTGTGCTGCCCAGACAGCTGGTACTTACCCACATTGTGAGCAGCTCAGTCCTTGGGCTCTGCGCTTGGGCTGCTGTAGCTGATCAGGCTGGTCTTCCCTGATAGACAGCAAGAGCCTAACTTGAATCTGTCAGAAGTTACGAGTGATCAGATCGGCTGATTTAAGCCTGCAGATAGTAGGTGTGTAGGCAGGGTGATGTGTACATTTTGTAAGGCAATAAATGTTGTGTCCTCACTTTTGACTTGTTGTAAAGAGATTCACGCAGAGATTAAGCACACAGACATAGATGGATTATGACAGCCAGCCTTGCTGGCTCATTCCCCTACCCATATTACTGCCAAGCCCTGTGAATTGTTTTTATTCTGGGCTCATTGCAATGTGCACAAGAAGTATTTAGATCCTGGAATCATGAGGATTTTCTTTGTGTTTCAGTGATTCTCAAGGAGGTCCGGTTATGAATTTTAGCCCCGACGGCCCTAGTCATAGAAGATGCAGTCATTAAACCAGAAATGACAAGTTGAAGCATTGGAGGTGTTTCAATAGGAATCAGTGGATTGTGAAAAAATTAATCTGACTTCATTTGCAAAATTCTGTCTTTTGCTACCTACAATTAAAATAACTGTTTAGGAAGGCACAGGGAAGTGTCCAGTCTGCAAAAAGAATATAGCAAAATCCTTTTGTACCTTACTCCTCAAAAGAAGTATTTTACTACTACACAGAGTTCCTTCAACACCTTGTTTACATTGTATTTGCACTGCATTCAAACCCTGCACCCTTGGCAGCTTACACCAGTGACTGCCATATTATCAGTGAATTTATTCTTACAGTATCTCTGAGATAAGGGAGGTGAATAAACTCAGTCTTACCAGAACAGATTAAAAAAGCAAGAATATTGGTGAATATTTGGTATGTGTCTCAAGACTGGAGTATTTGGCATTTTACACATGTTTAAGTTCAAGGCAATGTGCTCGCTGACCTCAGGGGCAGTTGGAAGTGTACAGCACGTATAAAATACTCACGTTTGACCCCTGGAGGCAGAGAAAGCACAAGATTAACAACAATCTCTGAAAGAGATTGTTAAACTAGCTTCCTTGCAACAGAATCCTCCTGTGATGTTGAGGGAGGCCAGAATCCAAATCCTGGGGCAACATTGCAATGGTCTTAGCCACAACACAGAAGACCTTCATTTCCAGCCCAGCCTTTCTTTTTCATCTCTTCCCAACCTTTCTTTCACCCTACTGCTTCTGTGTCAAGAGTGGCCAGAATCCTGAAGATAGCAGTCCAAGTGTTATATGCACAGCCCCAATTCACTGTCAGCATGAGTCCATTGCGTGCACTAAAAAAATACAGGTGCCAGGTGGAAAACTGTCTGTGTGATCTTGTAATTAAAGGATTTACCATAATACATTTGCATAAGGGGAAGAAAAAAAGTTCTTGAAGGAAGTTTGACATCCCATCTTTTGTGCAATAGTAATTCTTTAATGTAGCATATATTGTGTGCAACTTCCTACAATTAAAAAAAAAAAAAAAAAGGAAAAAAACAGGGACATTATGCACTTCATTTGCAGGGTTAGAAGTTTGAAATTCATGGCAGAAGTGTCTGCTGCTTCAGTTACTGCAGTAGCTAATACATGAAGTATTATTAATTCGCATTTAGTGCTACTGTTAATTAGTATTGCTAATACACATTGTCTGTTTTTGCTGCAGAGCAGGAACAGGGAGAGGAGCAAGAGGTACTCCTTGGCAGTAAGAAGCAAACATCTAGGAG